ATTGCGACTCCATATCAATATAGCCTTCGCTGCACCACTCAAGGCCTAGCAACATGCGGAACTCACTGCACACTTCAGCCTCTTACGGACATATCCTTCACATACCGAAGAGAAAGTTTCAATGCTCCAAGGCGTCGAGTTTCGGTCACCTTGCGATGGCTGCGAATATTCCATCGTCCGCATACAAGCCCATGCATAAGTACCGAATTCTTCGAGTTAGCAATTCCCCTCACCTCTGTGAGCTTTATATAACTCTTTCGGTCATTAAGCAACTCATTCCACCTTGCTTGGTCTCATCCTTTACCAAGCGCCTCGCTTGCCTTGAGCACCATCAAGTATAGTTGTCAACGTCGAGCCGTAGCTCGAACTCAGCCATCCCAACCTTTGTGCGCTTCACATTCTTCCAAGCTTGCTTGTTCTCGTGGTGCCTCTTGCACGAAGGGTTAGCCATTCCTCTAAGTGCCAATCTCAGATGTCCGCTCTTTTGAGCGACTCCTTATCCCTACATCTCCATGCCCGTTTTCCCCCAAACAGTCGCGTGTGCTAACTACCCTCAATGCAGCCCCACAAGGTCCCCCACATTTACATGCCAAGTGTTTCTATGAGTGCTTGTCCCACTCTGATACCATCTGTCATGGACTTAGCTAGTTTTGTCTAAGTCGTGCGGCACCCTTACGTGTCCGTCCGCAAAGGTCAATCTCCCCGAAACCTCCTATGTTCCCTTAGGACCTACAAAAGAGAAAATGAGTTAGAGATAGCGCCTCACTTGGGATCCACAAGCAAACATTCCAGGAAATACTTCATAGACAATGTAAATTACAAATAGACTTTACAAGCTCTGAATAGTTACACAATAAAGGGTCAAAATGATCCACTATAGACCGAATATCTCTCACAAGTATCCATATGACACAATATTTATTTACAAGCCTAAGAAGACCACCAAACCTAACTAAAATGAGGCTGTTAAGCCTTCAACCATCCCTCTATATGCTGTGCAAAGTATGAACAAACCAAAAGACATGAACATACATAAGTATTATATTAAACATCCTATTTAGAACTTTGTCCGTGGCACTATGCTAGTTTTTAATAACCCTAGCCCACTTTAACATTAACACTCATCTCTTTTAATCTAAACCCTAACTCTTTTAACTAAGAGGTGTGACAGCTAGGAAAGAAAAGGGGTAGCAGTGGCTATGAAAAAGAGAGAATAAGTAGTGGCAGTTGAGGGTAGAAAAATAAGAGAAAAAGGAAAGAGAAGAATATAAGGATAATGTAGAGGTTATTCTCAATCATCCAGATATTGTTCTTATCTCAGGTTAGATCAGATTTACAGTAAATTCTTATTATGATCACTTAGGGAGATTTTGAATATTATGTACAGTAACATAATCCTTGTATTCCAATTATTCTTTTGTGATTGTTGTTTGGGTTTTGGCAAGAGACTTTGAGATTTATACATTCATTATTTTTATAGTAGATTTTCTCTAACTTGTCTCGTGGTTTTTATCTTTCACGTTGAAAGAGTTTTTCACGTAAATCTTAGTACATATTTAATTATAAATTTCATTTAATTTCACTATGATATAGTCTGCTTATATTTATTGATTCATGTATAAAAATTCTCCATTTATCCCATCATCATTGCACATTGCATATGATACATCCACTTTGGACAATATCATTCAAAATATCCGATTATGAATCCTTCCTTTATAACTAACAAAAGCATTCAATCTATAATTTAATTATGTTTAAAATAAACAATAGCAATTGAGGTGCCTAAATAGATATTATACTTTTAAACAGATAAACCCTTATCTCTAAGTTTGGATACGATAAATTTTAGATTAATTATGACAAATCAATTCCACAAGATAAGGAAGCACCAATTAGACATCGATGTTAGCATGACATAAAAAAAAAATATATTCCCTCGTTAAGCCACTTAATATTCTGGATACGATGATAATTACAAAACCAATACTGTATAAAGACGTAGATAATTTGTCATATACACTTCTAACTAAGGTCTACCATACCGAATCGTACTGCTCGGTACGGACGGTATGTTCAAAAATCATATATCGGACGATACGGAGTAATATCAGGCGGTAACGATCGAAATTTCGACCGTTACCGCCACACTGTAGTAGTGGTACAGTGCTCCAACAGTTAATTTGACTGTTTGCATTAATTCATACGAAGGTCCACAACAGACTCTCCTACAGACGGTTAAAGAAACTAGTATATGTCCATTATAACATGCTGCTAAAATTACGATATGTTAAGTTGGATAAGGAGCCAGAGGAACTAGATATTGATCCCATTGACCTCCAATTCTACAATGAAGATTCAGAGCCAATGTTAGATTGGGTTGAAGCAGTAGAGAACCAAGAGGATCCTCTACTTGATGAGGTGGGAGATCCTCAACGTCCTTCACGTTTTATTACCGAGGCAATAGAAGAAGAATAAGCACAACTCCAACATGTGGAAAATCCCCCTCGATTACAACGTGGTAGGAGTCAAACTGTTCAAGGAACTACCGACACCCAACGGTCACACTCGTCCGCCCAATGTGTAAAGGCAAAGGGGAAGGCAGTAGCATCAGTTGCATCATTAAAAAGAATCGAGTCGGGCAATGAGACACCTTCACAATCACATTCTCTTTCTCGCTCGGTCTAGAGACATGACAACAACATGGACAGCAATGCCTCGACAGATGATGACGGTGATGCCGGGCAATCGTTAGTCTCATCTACATAACTTGAGGGTGGTGAATGGATTGAGGAGAAATATTTTACACATGCAACTTAAGATTCAGATCATGGAACTCGACAAGGTACTGGTCAAGTTTATGTGCGGAAGGGGAAAGGGAAGGGGAAGGCAATGGATGAATATGAACAAATGCGATAGAGCATACATGATATAGACACAGAAAGAGGCTCATCGTATTCACAGCTATCGTATTATGGAGAATCATACGAGCAACAACAGTATGGTGATAGTTGGTCATCTTTATCTGAGCAACAGTATGATATAGAACAACAGATCAGTAGCGAAAGTAGAAGCTCTTACATTCACCAATATATGCCTCAAGAGCTGCCTTAAACAAATATGATTCATGACGATCAGTCTACGATCAACACCATATTGATGCATCAATGGTATACGGTGTATCAATACACTATGTCATGGGATCAATTTCATGATTGGGTCTAACAAATGTATCATATTGATATGCAGATATATTGGATCGATGACCCCGATCCACCACCCGTGGAGGCCCGTCGTTCATTTTGGTAGTAGAATCAACAATCAGGTATATCTACATATGTGATTATTTAATTATTTAAATTTTAGAGTTTATATTGTAACAAAATAGTCTAACAATTCAACTAATTTTTCTGTAGATATTTCAATCTATAACGGGCTGAAATACGAATCTCGAACAAGACTACCTCAGAGTCCGAAAAAGATATGTAATACTATTGTTACCTAATTTACATTGATTTTACTAAACTTCTACTATCACTATATTTATTTGTAACTTGAAAACCCTATCCTAATTTTTTTTTAAATTTTTAGATATTTTCGGAGGGTTAAATATGTGAAATTAGATGTACCGCTCGGTACATCGTACCGTACCATACCATACCGAGCCTAAGTCGAAACATCGGTACGGTATAGTAAGACGAAACTTGCTTCTAACATAAACTTTTATAGGAACAAAAGATACACTATGTGATTTTTGACTCTTGAGAAGAATTCTCTTATCAAATTGTGACTCATACATAATATTATATCTCCGAAGAAAAATATGTTCCCCCTTAGATATGACAATGCTTGAAAAACGGATCATGTTTGATTAATTTCACTTGATGTTAAAAAATCGATCGGATCAAATAAAACAAGATATGATTTTGTAATATAATCATTTGAATATTTTCTATTATTTATTTCAGAAGATATTTATGTTAATTTCAAATGAGGATTAAGTGGAGAAAAGTATTTTTTTTCTTTATATTTCTCCTTTCTTTTCAGCCTTCTTTATATTTTCTTTTCATCTAATTATCTTTCTTACATTTTCTTTTCTTTTATATATTTATCATATTTTATAAAATTGAAGTCTTATTTATATTTTTTATTAATTTTAAATATTATATTTTTAAAATCAAACTCAGCCATCCTAACATATGTGCGCTTCGCAACCTTTGTATTACATATAATTTTAATTATTAAATTTTTTTAAAAAAATATTTTTTAATTATATATATGATCTAACCCAGTTTGATGGAGTCAATATTATATTTGTGAAAGCCATATTATTCTAGGCATGCACGTGACATTCATATAGACATAAAATATAGATTAATTATATATTATCTTATATAATTAATTATCTTTAGTATCTTAATCTTTATAGTTTCAAAAGTAACATTAGGATCCTTATGTTTATTAAAGTAAAATATTTAACCTATTTTCTTCTCGTATCATTAATTTTGTATGTTGACTTTATAGGATTTATCACTCAGTATATGTTGACTTTATTCTTTCGATTATCATTAAGTATAATATATTTTCATTAATAGATTCGATGACGTAAAGAAAAATAAAACTAAATATTTTACTTTCATAAATATTTGACTCATAATTAAAAATATATGGATCAAAATACTAAAGATAATTAATTATCCTCCTAAAACACCCAACTAGCCGAGTACAATATGCAAATAAAGCCAATTAGTATTACTATTATACCATACCATATTACACTGCATAAAACGCCTTCGCTCCGGAACGCCGTTTGATATCTGTGAGGAATTAATCTCTACCGTCAAAATAAATACGAAAGAACCTTTCTATGTTTCTCACCATAACTCTGTAGCACCCACGCTTACCTGCCTTTTGTTAACATGTCGATCTGGGGCCCACTCCCGTCCCACCTCTCCTTCCCGTAACAACGAAGGTGGATGAAATGACACGTACAGCTGATCTCTTTCTCCGTCGTCTCCTCGAACATGAGATTTAAACCTCTAACCCTAATTCTATCCCCAAGATCGCCACAAAAGACTCGGCCGGAGCCTTCATGGAAGACCCCGAAGGAGCCCTTAGCTTCGACTTCGAGGGCGGCCTCGACTCCGCCGCTCCCGCCGCTGCCGCCGCCCCCCTCGCGCCGGCAGATCCCACCGCCGCAGCGGCGACCGCGGGAGCGGTCCCTCACTCTGGCGCAGCCGATCCGATCGCCGTAGCAGCTGGGAATGTCCCTGGGCGGCGGAGCTTCAGGCAGACGGTGTGCCGTCACTGGCTCCGTGGCCTATGTATGAAGGGCGATGCCTGCGGCTTCCTCCACCAGTACGACAAGGAGCGGATGCCCGTCTGCCGCTTCTTCCGGCTCTACGGGGAGTGCCGCGAGCAGGACTGCGTTTATAAGCACACCAACGAGGACATCAAGGAGTGCAATATGTACGTATTAAAACGAAATCTTTTTTGCGTAGCTTGATGATTGGTAGCATCATCTTCCTGATCACTTCATGACGCCATGGATCTCCTGTTTTAATTTTTTTTTTTGAAGATGTATATGTTTTCAATTTGGTCGCCTATGATTTGGCGTTTTGAACTTTTTGCTTTTTGATTGATGTCGACTAATTTCCTTCTTTTCTTCATCTACATCAAGTATGACAGTGGTTTCTTGGAGGCATCTAACGATGGCCTTCATTTTCTTTATCTTCCTATGTAAGCACTGTTCTTGTTGTGTGTTTCTCCCAGCAGATGGAATTTGGAGCATCGGTATAAAGCTGGTCCTTTGGCTTAGCAAAGAGATCACAGATGAGACAATTTAAGGGACGAAGTGTTCGGATTAAAACCAACAGAATGCACTTTACAGCAAAACCCGCAAATCATGATGCAGTAAGGTGATTACAGTAAATAGGGCAAGAAGGACAAAAGAGGAGAAATATGTAAGCTTATTCATATCTACAAAGAGGATTTGCGGGTAGTGTAGAGAGAAGAATAGAGACGGATTTTTAGAAGAAAATAAGAAAAAAGGAGAACAATGGTAGGGTCTCCTTGCTACAAAGGGGAAATAACTTTTACTTATCCAAACATTCAGAAGTTGCAGCCACGTCAGCCTTATTCCTACTCTATTAAGGATTTCATTGCAACCAAATTTATATGGAAAGTTTTGGCTATATCAAACTAAATCTGCTTCAGGTTATATAAAAATTCATTTAGTGTTTGATTCTGCTTGCATGGTGTTGAGCTTGAACATTCCTGTTAGTACTATATCATCCTTTTATTGTTTCCATTTCTCTCGCTGCAATGCTGGCACCAGTTATGAAGTTTCATTCAACTTTTGGACTTTATTTCTATTTTTTTAGCCCCTAGCAGCACAATACTGGGATTGCATGAATGAGTGAAAAAAACATAGAAATGTATAATTGTACAGTGTAGTCAATACAGGCGTTTTAATATTGTTTTAATGGAAACTAACACTGTTTGGACTACTGATGATAATGTCTTGAGCTTCTGGTACAAGAATCGAATAGGGTGGGAAGGAAAGATAGAAGATGGAGGTGAAAAAAGGCATAAGAGAATTGTTTATGTGCTTGAGAAGAGGGTTTGAAATTCTCATATGGTCTTCAGTTCTTAGCTTCAGTTCTAGAAATTTTAGGAGTTGAAATATCATAAGTAGCAGTAACAATGTTCTTTTTTTTACCAAAAGGATTAGAAATAACAACTTGAATAGAATAGTTTCCCTCCCTGTTATAGGATAAAAGGTTACAAAAATCAATAGGGCACCTTCTATGAAAAGGTGTCCTTAGAAGATCTGACAATAGTTGCCCGTTTATCATTTTCATGCCACTTTTTTTCTGTAAGAGACATGTTTTTTTCATCTGAAAAATATGGAAGAAACAGAAATGATGCCAATGAATCCTTAATCTTGCAAACAGTTGGGTGTTCCATTATTTGTATATTAATCATCGGCTGCATATATCACCTCACTGCAGGACATCTTGAGAATCTAGTTAAGTTTGTGGTCAAAATATGGTAGTTTTATCTTATTTTTCATGACCAATATTCAATTTATGTGAAGTTTGTTAGGCATTATGGAACTTAAGTTAAGTTTGTGACACTACCTTTGCAGGTATAAACTTGGTTTCTGCCCCAATGGACCTGATTGTCGGTATCGACATGCAAAGCTTCCTGGGCCTCCTCCCCCTGTAGAAGAGGTTCTCCAGAAGATACAGCATCTGGGTTCTTTTGGTTATGGGTCTTCAAACAGATTTTATCACCACAGAAACACTAATTATAACCAACAACTGGATAAGAATCAGTTGTCATCAGCTCCTGGGTTACATAATCAGAATACAGCAGTTAAACCAGCTTCTTCATTTGAACCATCAGATGTAAAACCATCACAGTCCCTAGTAGTGCAGCAGTCTCATCAGCAGCAGCAGCAACAACAACAACAATATCAGCAACAACAGCAACAGCAACAGCAACAGCAACAGCAACAACAACAGCAACAGCAACAGCAACCACCACCCCCACCAACAGAGAACCAGGTCCCTGGAATTATGAATGTCTCATCAAATCAATCAACCAGAACTGCATCTCCACTCCCTCAGGGACAATCTAGGTGTGTTTGGAATGTCTAAAATTCTATGATTTCTGATAACTTATAGTGATGAAGGTATGCAATACCGTTAAGTACGGTTCAGTTTGTGCACCGTACAGGGACCAGGGCAAGTCGCATGATACACTTGGTTCTAGGCATGTTCCTTGGTATAGGGCTGTACAATCTGGTAAAGGGGCTGAATCACCCAGTACACCAGGTACAGGACCTGTACCAGGCAGTTCCCTTTTCTTGTTCTTTTTTAGCCTTTTTTTTTCAGGTTTTTCCAGAATTCAGTACCTACCTGTCATGAACGGTCGTCGCGCACCTGTAACATTTTCGCTCCACGAACCATTCGTCGCTTTTGCATGCTTACACAAATGCTCGGTAGTATGTTTTGCCTTGGTTTTATATGCTTTTTGTTTGAAAAATGTAAGCAACAACAGTTCGCAGTGCTGTAGTGCGATCGCTCACTGCATCGGACAAAACTGTCCCAAAATGGCTCCATTTTCGCGTGCCACGACTTGTTTTCTACAGACCATAACCGCACGTGAAATGTCAGTCATCTTAACACCCTGGAATCCCCTTGGTGGCATCGGGGGGATGGGGCTTCGGGGTAGGGTTGAGCGTTGATCGGTATACACAAGTTCACACATTAACTTGATGGGAACTTGCTATCACGACCGACACTCGATGAGCAGTCGTTTGTGGATTTGCGATTATTCGTTTTGCCTTCTAAAGTTCTTGTTTTCTCCTTTCTTTCTTTTCTCTCTTGCACTCAAAGTGCTTGCTGAATTGCTTGTAAGGCTTCCCTCTTCACGAGACATCGGGACTTGTCCGTTGCTTGTTTTTGAACTAATCAACATTCTCTTTTTACAGGTTCCTAAGCGAGGTTGCAAATTGGTTGACCCTTTGCGAACGCATATCGCAAGGGCGCGTCATGATTTAGGCAATCCTAGCTAAGTTTGAGAAGTTGATGCAAGGGAGCATCACGACTTAGGTAACTCCAGCTAAGTTTGTGACTTTGCCGTAAGGGTGCTTCACGACTTCGGTAATTTCAGCTAAGCCTGTAACATTGTGGTATCAGAGCGGCAAGCAATTTGAGCAAACAGCGAAGAAACTTCGTAATCTCGCCATGGCGATGCATCGTGGCGAATCGAGCAAGACGGGGCAAGCCAGGCCATTGCCCCAAGCATCCGTAGGTGGGCTGCAAATGCAAACTCGCTCTCATGCTGTTGGAGCCGCTCAGGAGGAGCACAGCAGCGAACATGACGATCGAGAAGTTGGCTACTCTCCGCAAGTGGAGGAGGCGCAATCTGGAGCACCAACCGAAAAAAAGAGCCACAAGGAAAGACTTAGCGACGGAAACCCGCTTGGATGTTCTTGAAGCGAGTTTGGAGGAACTCTACCAAGGCCAATGAAGGCTTCTTGCGGGTAGAGAGCTCGCAAGAAGAAGCTGAATCTCGAATCGACAAGGTTGAGTCCCTAATCGATCAACTCACGGAAGACACCAAGGACTCTGTACGACATTTGCACGAAGTCGTGGCGAAACTCACTTCTAGAGTGATATTACTCATAATGGCACTAAATGTAGGAGGGAGCAACACTTGCGTTGCGTCGCTACAAAACTTGAGGGCACTTGAGCCTTATTGCTACAGGGGTGCCAGGGATGCAAAGGAGTTCGAGAATTTCTTGTTTTACATGGAGTAGTACTTTTGGGCTACAAGGCTTGATTATGAAGATATCGAAGTTTCGATAGTAACCATGTATCTGAATGAGGATGCAAAACTATAGTGGCGAACCTGTTGGGAGGAGATCCAACAAGGTTGGTGTCGAGTGGACACATGAGAGGACTTGAAGCGGGAGTTGAGAACTCAATTCCTACCCAAGAACATAGAGTTCGTTGTAAGGTGGAAGCTGAGACAACTCCGCTAAAGCACTTCCATTCGGGACTGTGTGAAGCAATTTTTCGCATTGATGCTGGACATACAGGACATGTTCGAAAAAGATAAGCTGTTCAGCTTCCTCGATAGCCTCAAGCCATGGGTACAACAGGAATTGCATTAAAGGAATGTCATCGATGTGATCGGAGCAATTGCGGCCACGGAAAGGCTCACTGACTTTGTTTCCTCGGAGGACTCAGGGAAAAAGAAATAATCTTCAGGAAATCGCCCACCGAAATATTCTGGAGGGAAGGAGTCCGGTGGCGAATAAAAGAAGAAGAGTTCCCATAAAGGGCAAAGCTCAAAAGGCAAGGCCTTAAAACTTGGCGGATGCTTCTTGTGTAGAGGATCACACATGGTGAGGGAGTGCCTGCAGAAACAAGCACTTAATGCCTTAACAGCTTCAATCCACCCTCCCAAATTGGACAAGGGCAAGGCCGTCGCTCTTAGTTCGAGTATCTAGCAACGACGATGAGGAGTCGCAAGGGCCCTAGATGAGAGCAATGCATTTGTTGAATGTGTTTCGGGGTCAAGTGGGGGAGAACTTGAAGACGAAGCCACAAAAAGCAGGGAGCAACGAATTGATGTATGTGGACATCAAGCTCAATGACCGAACAACTTGTGCAATGGTCGACACGAGTGCCACCCACAATTTCATTGCTGACAGAGAAATAAGGCGACTTGGGCTAAACTTGGAGAAGAACCCAAGTCGGATAAAGGCAGTGAACTCGGAGGCTAAGCGTATCTCTAGACTAGCGAAGGCTATACCCATCAAGATCGGGACGTGGAGAGAAAGCACAAATATGATGACGGTGCCACTGGACGACTTCCAAGTGATTCTTGGAATGGAGTTCATGCATGCAGTGAAGTTGGTGCTAATGCTGTTCCTAAACTCCCTATGTCTAATGGGAGGCGACCACCCCTGCGTGGTTCCTGTTTCTCGAGGAGGAGCCAAAGACCCATAACAAATATCATCATTACAATTGAAGAAGGGGGTGCGAAAAGGAGATCTAACCTTTGTGGCCATTGTAAAGTTGGAGCCACTTGATGGGGAGGACATTCATGAACCTGCTGTGGTGACAAACATTTTGAAGGAGTTCACACATGTCATGTCGCCTGAGTTGCCGAAAACTCTGCCACAACGCAGAGGCGTGAATCATCGTATCGAGCTAGAGCCGGGAGTGAAGCCTCAAGCGAGACCACCATACCGCATGGCTCCTCTATAGTTGGCAAAACTTAGGAAGCAATTAGATGAACTGCTAAGCGGTGGTCTCATTCGCAGTTCAAAAGCACCATTCAGAGCTCCAGTTCTCTTCCAAAATAAACAAGATGGGAGCCTCCGATTATGTGTCGACTATCGGGCCCTAAACAAGATGACGGTGAAGAACAAGTATCCCATCCCGCTCATCACGGACTTGTTCGACCTATTGGGTAAAGCAAAGTATTTCTTAGAACTCGACTTTCGGTCGGGGTACTGGCAGGTGCGCATTGCCGAAGGCAACGAAGCGAAGACTACCTATGTAACCAGGTATAGAGCATTCGAGTTCTTGGTGATGCCTTTTGGCTTAACCAACGCTTCAACCACATTCTGTACTATCATGAACAAACTATTCAAGGAGTATTTAGATAAGTTTGTGGTTGTCTACTTGGATGACATCGTCATTTATAGCTAAACGCTCGAGGAGCATGTCAAGCACCTTCGAGCAATTTTTAGGGTCCTCAGGGAGAACACTTTGTTCGTGAAAAGGGAGAAGTGCTACTTTGCTCAAATGGAGATTTTGTTCTTGGGGCATCGAATCGGTAATGGTTCTATTTGGATGGATAAATCAAAGGTGCAAGCTGTGGCGGAATGACGAATACCAAAGGAAGTACTGGAGTTTAGATCCTTCCTTAGTTTCGTCAACTACTATCGGCACTTTATAGCTGGGTACTTGAAGCGCGTAGCTCCACTGACGGAGTTGTTGAAGGAGCAGCCATGGCGATGGTTTGACAAATGTGAAGCGACATTCTAAGATATAAAGGATACTGTGTTGGAAGAATCGATACTCAAATTGTCGGACTATGGGACGCCCTTTGAAGTCCATATATATGCTTCAAACTTCACTATTGGGGGAGTACTCATGTAGGAGGGTCACCTGGTGCCCTATGAGAGCCGCAAGTTCAACGAGACCGAGCGACGATATTTGGTGCACGAGAAGGAGATGATGGCGGTGGTCCACTGTCTACGAGTCTGGCGGCACTACCTTCTCAGATCACGATTTGTGCTAAAGACGAACATCACTTTGAGTTACTTCTAAACTCAAAATAAACTCTTCCCAAAGCAAGCACGATGGTAGGACTTCCTGACTGAGTTCGATATGACAATGGAGTATAGGCTCGGAAGAGCAAATGTTGTGGTCGATGCATTGAGCCAAAAAGTGGAGTTGGTGAATGCCATGCAGCTAGAAGGCAGAGGCCAAGCAAGTCAGTTGCGCTCTAACTTTCCTTCTAGAATCAGGGATAGACTGCACAGTGATCCCCAAGCAGTAACCCTGATGCAACTAATCAAAGAAGGCAAGACACGACGATTTTGGATCCAGGAGGGACTCGTCTACAACAAAGGGAATAGGGTTTATGTTTCTCGAGCGGACAATTTGAGGCGTGAACTCTTGAGAGAGTGTCATGATTCCCTTTGGGCTGGACATTTGGGTATTCACCGAACATTGGCTCTCGTGGAGAGGGCCTTCTATTGGCCGAAGATGGGGGTTGATGTGAAGGAATATGTTTCATTGTGCCTTACTTGCCAACAAGATAAGGTAGAGCAACGGTAGCCGATGGTACTTTTGGAGCCATTGCCCGTACCAGAAAGGTCATGAGAGAGCATTTCCTTAGACTTCATATCAAGCTTGTCGAACGGTCGTAAGGGGACTCAGATTGATACTCATAATGGTCGATCGATTTTCAAAGTATGCAACATTCACTGTTGCACCCCTACACTGTTCAGCAAAGCAGGCGGCCAAGTTGATGATGAAGAATGTGGTGAAGTATTGGGGAGACACGTACAATATTATCAGTGATCGAGATGCTCGGTTCTTGGGGTGATTCTGGACCGAGCTATTCAAATTGCTAGGGTCCACGTTATACTTCTCCATAAACCTCCACCTTCAGACAGATGACCAAACTGAAAGAATAAATTCGCTCATTGAGCAATATCTTCGGCACTACGTGAGCAATCACCCAATGGGATTGGGTGAAGCTATTGGACATTGCCCAATTCTCCTACAACTTGCAACGGAGATTTGTGTCTAACAAGAGCCCCTTCGAGATCGTTACGGGACAGCAGCCGTCGACTCCTCACACCTTAGCGATTGGTTATACTGGGAGTAATCCGTCAGTATATCACTTTGCGAGGGAATGACACCGAAATGCATATATTGCATAGGCTTACTTAGAGAATGCGACTAAAAATATGAAGAAGTTGGCAGACTTAGGAAGGCGACCACAAGAGTTTAAAGTTGGCGACTTGGTGTTGGTGAAGCTCCAACCGGCATCACTCTAGTTCTTCAGGCAAAAAGTGCACAAGGGATTGGTGCACAAGTACGAAGGACCCTTCCTAATTATTAGTAGGGTAGGCAATGTCTTCTACATGTTGCAACTATCGGCGTGGCTCAAAATTCATAATGTCTTCCACGTAAGCAACTTGAAAGCCTATCGCTCAGATCCGCAAGATGCTTCTCAAAGTGTTCCAACTCGGCTACCGCCACCAGAGCCTCCTACGAGAAGTGAGTTGAAACTATTTTAGCGGATTGCAAGACAAAACTACCCAACGGAGCAGAGCAAACCAAATACCTAGTGAAGTGGCGAAAACTTCTCCGAATAGAAGCCAGTTGGGAGCCTGAAGACGCCCTACGACACGAAGTAGCAGTCATCAAAGCCTACCAACAAGCGTCGACGAGGGTGTCGATAGTTTAAGTGGGGGAGAATGTCACGAAAGGTCGTTGTGCACCTGCAACATCTTTGCTCAACGAACCGTTCGTCACTTTTGCATGCTTGTACAAATGCTTGATAGCATGTTTTGCCTTTGTTTTGTGTGTTTTTACTTGAAAAATATAAGCAACGATAGTTCGCAGAGCTGCAGTGCAACCGCTCACCACGCTGGGCAAAACTGCTCTAAAATGGCTCCGTTTTCGTATGTCACGGCCTGTTTTCTGCAGACCGCAGCCGCACACGAAACGTTAGCCATCTCAACACCCTGGAACCCCTCGGGTGGCACCAGGGGGGATGGGGCTTTGGGGTAGGGTTGAGCGTTGATCGGTGTACACAAGTTCGTACGTTAACTTGACGGGAACTTGTCATCGCGCCCGACACCTGGTGAGCAGTTGTTTGTGGACTTGCGACTGTTCGTTTTGCCTTCTAAGGTATTTGTTTTCTCCTTCCTCTCTTGCATTTAAAGTGCTTGCTGAATTGCTTGTAAAGCTTTCCTCTTCGCAAGACGTCGGGATTTGTCCGTTGCTCGATTTTGAATTAATCAACTTTATCTTTTTATAGGTCCTACGGGACCTGAGCGAGGTTGCAAATTGGCTAACCCTTTGCGGATGCATATCGTGAGGGTACGTCATGACTTAGGCAATCCCAGCTAAGTCCGAGAATTTGGCGCAAGGGTGCATCACGATTTAGGCAACTCCAACTAAGTCCGTGACTTTCCGCAATGGTGCCTCACGGCTTAAGCAATTTCAGCTAAGTCCGTGACATACCAGTATCTTGATACTTGGTATCACCGAATTGGCATTGTACCATTCTGAGCCTTGGCCGGTATTATACTGGTACATGAAATCACAAACCTTGATAGTGACACTATCTTTAAAGATTCAAATCAAGTTGTATTTAGATTAACGTTGACTCCATTCTGGATTGTTCATTTTGTCAATGATATTTAGTATTTCGTACCTTGATTTGTAAATTTATTTTTTAGGGTTTCTTTCTCTCTTAGTTGGCAGTGAACACTGACTATAGAACAGGATAGATAGGTAAGGTCAGAAGTAGTTCAGTGATTAAATGTATTGTTTTGCAGCACATTTGGATCACCTTTGTGAAGTGTAGGAGTAGCTGGTTAATCAAATTTATTTAAATGATCATGATAATTTATTGATAAAAATGCCATCGAACAGTGTGTAAATAGAATGATTGAGTCGGGTGAGTATTGCATTATCTATAAGGTTAAATAGAGTGTCATTTTGATTTGGATTATAAGATGTGGATTGTTGAGGTGTATGATCTAGATGACATTTTCCGTAGTGTATGCTCTACAATGTGTAGTAGTTGAGAATGAAATTGGTGTGTATGTACTTTGTTGTTGTATAATATTCTAGTATTGATATTATAATGTGCAGATATTCTATATGTTTTTCTGGTATAGAGAACATGGTAGATTTTCTGTGATCCATTTCTAGTTTAAAGCTTCTTTCTCTGAGCTTGAGACTATCTGAGAAGGATGTGCTTCTCTGCTTCATTGGATTTTTACACCTTGAAGTGGTTAATATATGTAATCCATATGCATCATACATATTTTTTCACATCTTATATTCTTCATATTTTTAATATCTTTTGGATGGATTTGACTAGACACAGTATTGCAATTCTGATTAAGTTTGTATTCAAAAAATAGGTATTTTATTGTGAAAAGTTGCAATCGGGAAAATCTGGAAATATCTGTCCAGCAGGGTGTGTGGGCAACTCAAAGGAGTAATGAGCCTAAACTTAATGAAGCATTTGAATCTACAGAGAATGTTATTTTAATATTCTCGATCAACAAAACTCGCCATTTCCAGGTATCATATATTTTTCTTGAAGAAATTACTTGTGGACAACATTATGTAGATCTGCAACAGAAGTAAAATCAAATTTAGCAGTTTCTTATTGCATCATCAACTAATTGTGGCTGAAACATAGAATATTGTTTTTGATTTTATTAGGGATGTGCTAAGATGACCTCTAGAATTGGTGGCTTAGTTGGTGGAGGGAATTGGAAATATTCTCATGGAACTGCACATTATGGTCGAAATTTTTCAGTCAAATGGTTAAAGGTATGATTAGTTTGACCTTATGTAAGTTCTGCAACTTTAGATTGGTGTCCTATTCTTTCCCTCAATCAAAATGTCTTATATTTTTGTTAAATGGCTGTTCCTATTTTCCTTTTTCAAATTTCTACCTTTCTGCATAATGCAGAGTCAAGTATGTCGTAGTGTTTTAGAATTTGCTTCCCTTGAATCTTTTTATTACATTTGTTAGAAGCCTTTGTACTCAACTTTCTAAGGGAACTTGTCTCCATTAGTTGTTGAAGCTTCTCACAATGGAGAATCATTCTTGCCTATGTTATTCATGAAAAATGTTTTCCATTCTGATTGCTATTAGTTTTACATTGAACACAAGCTTTTTGTTATGAGTGTTTGTGGAAAATGAAGTTATAGAATATACAATATGATGGCCTATTTCAGACTAGCAGATTGACATGTAAGAGCATTGGCTGGCTCTCAGTAAAATGATGCAGACTGGTTTTTCTGTCAATCTGATTGGATATGGTGTGTTATGGTGCCTTGCTCTTGGTTAGGCATGTCTTTCTTCTGGTCAGATGAAGGATACTGTTTATGGTTTTAGATGCACTGATATCAGTTTGTGGTGTCCATGTGAACACCAATGACAGATAAAATGAGAAAAAACATTTATTTTCTGCATTTGTTGGTCTGAAAATTGGCCATTCCTTAAGAGGCAAACAAAATTATTATAGAAGTTTCTTAATTGAAATGAGGATAATATCTAGATTTTGGACAATTTGGAAGCTATCATCCACCAAATTGTGTAAACTGAGGGAGAAAAGAAAGGATTCAACCCAGATAGAGATCAGACAGCTGAAGCTAGATTGGTAGCCGCCATTAATGGGAAGAATAGGAACTTGGAGACCAAAATTTAAGGATACTCGATTCTGTAACAATATTTGTTTGGAATGAACAAGAATGCAAACAAGATGTACATACGATGCATGCATTTAAATTGGATTCATCATTCAAGGTGGATGGAGGTTTGAATATTGCATGAAGAAGGCAATCGCGAGCCTTGGCACCACAGTGTGGTTGCTCTTTGCAATCTGCTAATGGCTTGAATCGTGAAAACAAGGCTGCATATTGACACTTTCTGGATCCTTTATCGGTGAGAACGTCATGCTTTTGGGTTGCCTTTTGAGACATTATGACATTCAGTTAAATCACTTAAACTTGTCTATGCTATTTGTTGGATAAATAATTCAAAAATAAATGTGGAAAAAAAAAACAAAGATGAGATACAGGATTAGTGAGAAAAACAGACCAAATAACCCTCTTCTCATTTTAAAATACATTTGGATATTTGAAAAGTTACAGAAGGGTTAATATATGTAGCAATACCTTTCCAGCCGAACATGCGATTTCCATAACTCAAATCTCTGATTACCCAGGTCATAAAAGGAGTAAGCTTAATAGACCTGAATTGGCTAGGTGGTGGGAATATTAGAAGTGTTAGGATCAAGAGCACTAAGAGAGGTGGGGGAGGGGGGGTGGGTGAATTAGTGCAACGTAAAACTTTCGACGATTTAAAACGACGTTCGTACGATAAAAGCGATTTCGGTATGAAAGCCGATTCGAAAATTGCTTTAACTTAGATTAGGCGAAGTGCAGTTAAATTAAAGCTATGGAGGTAGTTTGCAGTTAAGATAGAGAACATAAAGTAAATGCAAATCGAGATTTAGAGTGGTTCGGTCAATCTTGACCAATATCCACTTTTGGCTTCCTCCTCCGATGAGGTCACCGACGTCCACTAGAGGCCTTCCTTTAATAGGCGAAGGCCAATCACCCTTTTACAGTTTCACTCCTTTTGACCGGCTTAGGAGGCAACCCTTACAGAATTTTCTCTCCTCTTTTGAAAGATCAAAACTTGGAAGAAAAGATGGAGGAGAACTTCTAGCCTTTACAACATATTTGAGCTCTAAAATCACATAGTAAGATCAAGCTTTCGGTTCTCTTTTATGCAGGAAAGGGTGAGGCATATATAGGCCCCAAATTGTTTTGAATTTGGAGCTCAAAAATGTCATTTCTCGGATTTCCGGGGTCCTAGCGGTACTACCTCCTGACTGGGGCGGTACAACCGCCTGGCAGCTCGGAGACTGAGCCTCTGGGCGGTGCCACCGCCTGACAGGGGTGGTACCACTGCCCAGTCTTGCTCGGAGACTGAGCCCAGGCGGTGCCACCGCTTGACTGGGGCGGTTCCACCGCCCAGTCTTGCTCGGAGATTGAGCCCAGGCGGTTCCACCGCCTGACCTGGGCGGTTGCACCGTCCAGCTTTCCT